TCAATTTTAAATTTATTTCACTGAAAGAGTTTCATTTGCCCTTTGTTTTTATCTTTTTCCCTTTTAGTTGCAATTCTAGGGATCTATTAGAAATACATGGCTTCTTAACTTATTTTGTTTTATGTGTATGTCTAATATTAAGATTGAAGCAAAAAATTAAAAAAAATAAAATTATGGAGGATTACAGAACTCTTAAATCTACAAGATATACTTAAGCTGATAACAAAAGGATCACAATCGATTCAGTGACATATTAGGTGAAGGAGGCTATGGAACTGTTTACATAGGAAAATTTTGTGATGACATTTTTGTTGTCGTAAAGGTCCTCAANAGCTGGGAGTTTAGTTTGCAGAAGCTGGACATGGGAATTTAGCACACAGCACGCCCCCAATCACACAGGATTACTCAAGGAAAGACATGGGGAGGTTTCAATTTCGCACAAGCTGGATGTTCATTGTAGAGGATTTAAACTTCATTGGAGCTATATCCTATCCCTAATGGACAACTGAATTCAAGTGAGCAATGGTCAGTAGACTGGCGATTGATGATACAATTGTTCATTTCCCTCCATATGTGATAGATAACTGAGGAGAGGCTGAGTTTGAGGAGGATAACTNTTACATCTGGCTTTAAAAATCAAATATTTCCAAAATTACCCTTCTTTGACCAAAACAAGTTTTACAAGAAAATTTTTCACTCACCACTTTTTGAAGCCCACCTTTTAAACATAGATTCCTTCAGAAACCATCTTATTCTCTCTCTCTCTCTCTCTCTCTCTCTCTCTCTCTCTATTTACAAGCTTCAAATGTCCAATAAAATGTGCAAGGTACATTTTCTCTTTAGATTCTCCCTTTCTATACTCTCTATACAAGATACACTAACCGGCTTATGTACACATACGTAGAAGCATGTTGGTGTTATAATACAGAGAACAATGAGTAAGACAAAAGACATAATCAGAGGGGGTTTGTATGTAGTTTGTTTATATCATAGAAGTTAATAAAATTGATGTAACACTGTCTCGACTTATGATTTTGATATTCTGCCTCACATTGCTACTTCAAGAAGTATAATGTATTCTTCAAGTGGAAGTAAAGTTGTAAGTGAACATAGGACATGAAAATGTGGATTGGATATTTATTGAAAAGTTGTCAGTAAAGTTGTTCTTCTTCTACAACAAAGGATCATGAAATTTCTTTGCTCGGTGGCATCCTCAAGGCAGTGTTATCAGTCCAATTAAGCAACCATAAACTTCTCACTTAATAGGAAGGATTTTGGTTATGGAGGGCAACCATAAAATTCTGAAGATTCTGATCATTGTAATGTTGGTTTTGTTTATGCTGCAACTATTGATTATGATTATTAGTACACCTTAAGGTTTATCTTAAATAAAAAAATTGTATCAGTGCACGAGGCTCCAGTCATTGCAGGGTCAAGAGAGAGTCAGATATACGCAGTCTTACCCTTGCCAGCAGAGAAGCTATTTCCGCGACTCAAACCCATGACCGGTCACAATAATAAAACAACCTTACCGTTGTGCCAAGGCCCGCCCTTAAGGTTTATCTTAAATATTCAGCTAAAATCAAATGCAATTTCTTATTGATTGTACTGCTAAACTTGAAATTAACAATAAATCCATAATACACGTAGTTGTTATTGCCTATAACTTCACGGTCAGCATTACACAATAGAGGAGCGATTACAAATTATATCTTAAGGCTAATTGCGAAAGAAATGAACACAAGTTGAGTATAACACATCCACAGATACTTGATTCTCTAACAAGAAGGATGAAGTACATCACAACGAACTTTGGTGCCTTTTGTTGTTTGAGATGAATGTCCATTGCTTTATAGTATCCAGATCCCATAACTATCTGACCTTTCACTTTCAATCACTCCATATGCAACTGGGAATAACCCAGTATTCCCATCAAGTGTTATTACCAACACAAGTACTTCCCCATATGCCTCTCTAGATGACATCCATCCATCCTAATGAAGCTTCTATAACCTACTCTAAATCCTTTGATCATGTAATAGATGAGATAAAACACCACTTCAAGATTGAAATGGAATTTATTGAAGCCAAGTAATCAGTAGGAAATGCACTAGTAGGGTTTCTCTGCCTCACTTCCCTAGCTTATGCAGGCAGTAACTCAAAAGACTTGCAATGATTCCCTCCAAGTTGTTCCATTTCCTTTTTTGGACTTATACAACAGATTTTCATTTGTTTCAAACTTCCGCGTTCAACTTGTACAATCCAAGGGTAATTTTGGATTATTTTTTTTAAAAAAATTATTGGGGTTTTCATCTTTTTTGCAATCCAATGAGAGTTTGTCTCAACCTCCTTTCTATATCTAATACAATTGTGCTCCTTGATATAGCTCTTGACTTAAAATGTCCATTGTTCAGGAAGAGGAGATGCACAGATCCTCCACTTTCACCCCATAGGAAATGCAATACAGCAACAACATCCCAAAAACAGAGCAGCTGGGAGTTTAGTTTGCAGAAGCTGGACATGGGAATTTAGCACACAGCACGCCCCCAATCACACAGGATTACTCAAGGAAAGACATGGGGAGGTTCCAATTTCGCACAAGCTGGATGTTCATTGTAGAGGATTTAAACTTCATTGGAGCTATATCCTATCCCTAATGGACAATTGAATTCAAGTGAGCAATGGTCAGTAGACTGGCGATTGATGATACAATTGTTCATTTCCCTCCATATGTGATAGATAACTGAGGAGAGGCTGAGTTTGAGGAGGATAACTCTCATGGATTTCCCTGTCCAGTGTTGGTTGATCCAATGGATGAGATCATTCCAGGGCAGCAAGGTGGTTGGTGCTCCTCCCAAATCCATTAGAAGGGTCCATCCTCTTGCGGTTAGATAACTGGCAATTGAAGAACATGTGTTGGTGTGTTTCAGTTTGCCCCCTACATAGCGCACATTCATTTCCAAATTGTTGAGAGTATACTTGTAACCTATCCTTGGTGTTAAGCCTACCTTTGATTGCCAGCCACAGGATAATACACATTCTAGGAATGGATTGGCTAAAACAAACTAGTTTGTGCCATTGAACTTGTGGAGTTTGTTCCCTTATGACTTCCGGAGCAGAGGAGGTTGAGATCCTTCCATTAGATTGCGCAAGCGACCATGTTGTGTCCTCTCTTTGTGAATTAGGCAAGTAGTTAGGCATGTTCTCCCCCACTTCATGCAACTCTGTGGATCTAAATTGGGGCCAAGACCATTGGTTGTTGGATATAATACAGATCACTTTGGCATTCCTTGGAAGTCTTGAACTTGTAATGATTCTCTCATTCCACCTCAGAAGGATAGGCCCACTTGGATGCCCGTTATCATGCCAGAGATAAGTACTCTCACCATTGCCAATAATGTGTAGAACAGATGGTCTTATTATGTCCCTATGCTTAAGGGTTTGCAACCAATTCCAAGAGCAAGTTTGAGTAGCATTTGCTTCCCATAAGCTTTTGTTCCTTAAGTGATAGGAGTGAATCCATTGGCACCAAAGGTCTGCTTATCAACAAACAGCTGCCAAATGTGTTTCATTATGAGTTCAAAGTTCCAATCCTTAAGCCCTTTTGGCCCAAACCACCTTCTTTCTTTTGTTTACAGATTTCAACCCAACCAACTTTAGCTCCTGTCATCTTTAACTCAGTTCCCTTCCACAAAAAGCTTCTCATAATTTGTTCCATTCTGTCAAGCACTTATTGTGGAAGCTTCAGATGAGTAGCCCAGTAGATTTGAATGCTTGAAAGAACAGAGGACACTAATTGAAGTCTGCCAGCATATGATAAGCTTTTGTTGGTCCAGCTTGTAATCAGGCGTTTTTTAAAAGCTTTGTATACTGTGGTTTGAAAAGATTTGAATGTTGTTTGAAAAGTTTCGCAAAAAAAGTGACTTTCTAGCTTTTTAGTATCAAAATAAAAAAATAATAATTACATGTATGTATAGATTTTGTATAATAGTTCCTAAAATATGAATTTCAATATTTTTTTACGTCAGTTATAATATTTTATAAATACAAAAAATTAAAAAGTTATGTGGGACTCTCGACAAAACTCCAAAAAGTCGGGAGACAAACTCATAAAATCAGTTCCTTGAATCAGCCTAAATAAGTCTTTTGGATTCAAAAAATTGCTACATAAGCTAGTAAAAAAGTCAAAGTCCAACGAACCTGACTTATTTTACTCCAAAACCCTTTAAAACTAACCATTTAAGCTAAATGACACAATTTTACTATTGCACAAAGACTTGCCCTCAATTTATTGAGTAATTATTGGGTGTAACCGTTGCATCAAGTCGGTATTCTTGATATGGTATAACCACCTGATAAGAAAAAAGCAAAAAGGATAAAATATGAAAAACTTCCTATCATGAAGATGATTATGTATTACATGATTAGGTGGTTATAAGTTTTAGTAGAATCTATTTGCTGACTTATTTATCTATTAATGAATTATTACACTGAGTGACTATAGTGTAATAGTTACACTCAATATTTTTTTTCAATTTATGGTTGTAATACAAAACCCAAATTGAGTTGCATACCCATTATGAATTTCAGGTTATGTTTTTCCATCACATGCATTTTTATCTTGCTTGAGTTTCGTCTTTTGGGGGTGGGGGGTGGGGGGGATATTGGGCTTGTGGACTCTTTCTAATCTGCAAACCCATGCCGAGCCTACGGCTAGGAAATGACGAGCGGTAATCCAAACCTCTAGAAAAATTCACCAAAAAACTTATTTTGGTTATAATTTAGAGATATAATGATTGTGACTGTTAGATTACCGATGAGTTTCAAAATTAAAATGCACACATTATTGATACAGGTCTGACCATAGTTTATGTTCTAAATGTCAAATATATTAACGAGTTTATTGGTTCATAAGCTATCGCAACTCAAGGACCGGAAAGGGAAAACGAAACCAGTTATGTAAATTACATAAGCTGGTGTAAAGTAGAACTCGATGTTTATCACAAAGGAAGTTCGCCACTGTCTGCAACCACGACTTTGCTTTTGGGTGTTCCGCTTTGCTTTCCTTCAGCTTCAATCTTGTAAACCACGTCCATTCCGGATAGCACCTTCCCAAAGACAACATGGCGGCCATCCAACCTGCAGATGAATAGGTAATTGAGCTAATGACATTCAAAAGATTTGAGGTCGAAAAATGGCACATGACTCATGAAAAAACCAGACTTGGAGGATCCCGTATGGATAACTAGGACAAATGAGTCCTGCTACCATGCCGTTCCACAGATTAATACATAACAAAAAAAATCCTATAGGACGGGAAAAAGTTAAACATGCTTTGATCTTCTTAATTATCATATCTATAAGTGCATTTGTGGTTACCAGCTGGTTGTCACAGTTGTGATGAAGAACTGTGAACCATTGGTGTCGGGGCCAGGGTTCGCCATTGCCAGAAGCCCTGCACAGACAAGAAAGAAACAAGACCACAAGTTATTCAATGATGGAGGATAATAAGCATGAAGCATGCAACAGAAGTAAACTTGCACTTTGTTCAGCCTAATCATAATATATATATACAAAAATGTTACCTGGTCCAGTATGCTTGAGCTTGAAATTCTCATCAGCAAACTTTTCTCCATAGATGGATTCCCCACCTTTTCCATCACCATGGGTAAAATCATCTCCTTGAAGCATAAAGCTGGGAATGATTCTATGGAAGGTGCTCCCCTTGTAATGAAGAGGTTTCCCACTCTTTCCAACACCTTTCTCCCCTGAGATGTCAAAAATGCCAAGTTTGAAACTGACTTGGGGACTGATTATATACCAGGGACAAGATTTTTTTTGATAGGAAACAATGATTTTATTAATAGTAAGAATGGATGTGACAAAAAATGAAGAGAAAAGTTGGACAAGATGTCCAACCGCGTTGCAGTACACCAAAAAGGCACTACATGAAAACCATAAAAGCAAATATTCAGATAGATGACTTCCGCACACACAACAGTCTAACGTGCACTACTTCCAAAAAGCACTAGATTTGCAAACTCCTTCAAGAAAAATGATCCATTTTGGACTCCAACTAAATTTTGCAAAAAGAGCTACACAAATTTTCGTGTAGTTCACCTAAACTTCACCAAGAAATGTATAGTTTTCTAATTTGGTATTTCTCACGGCACTTTAGCTGTTTTGCATGACACAATTATTTCAAATGAAAAAAAAAAATTAACATATCATCTCAGGCTGTTGTAACTTTGTTAAATTGAGTTGAGTATCTCATTTTCGGGTCAAGAAAAATGAAAATAAACAACTACATTTTGATTTGAGCATCGAGCAGACAATTCGAAGGCAATGCTGATTAATTTTGCTACAGGTTTAAAAATGAATAGGAGATTGTTCAGCCTTTTCAGAACTTTGCATCCTCAATTTTTCCTCAACAATCAACTCCCGAGCACTCCTCTTCACTCTCCCGAGCGTTCATCTGTAACCTTTCGAGCACTCTTCTTGATGATCCTTCACCTGTAAGTACTTTCTTCCTTTCGAGTTTGCTTCTCATTTCTTCTACATTTCTCTTAGAACCCATCTCTGGATAGACCATGTAGAATGGCGGAGAGGGCACCTGCTAGGGCTAGGGACAACCGCAGGTTGAGGAGGACTGAAGTGAATGGAAACAACACCCAAGCTTTTAGGGATAGATACCAATTCCCCGAGCCCGTTTTCACCTTCCCCTTCGACTCGCGTTACCATAGCAGAGACATAAGAAGTGTAGACATGATGTCTTTCTAGACCAAAGCCATCATGGAAGGGGGGTTACCTTTCCTCTCCATCCCCTAGTTCTGAGGATGATGATGCACTTGAAGCTTTTCTCCCTTCAATGTAGCGTCAACTTCTTGAGACTGGTCATGGGGTGTGGTTGCCTTGAATGCTCGGCTTGGGGTAAAACTGAGGGTAGACGAGATCCTATTCTACTATGACTTGAGACTAGTCGCTAGGGGTAGGTACTACCTCTAGTCTCGGGATCCCTCTATGTACCTGGTGACTCATATGTCGGACTCGGACAAGGGGTATATTGATGATTTGATCATGCTCGACGGAAGTTGGAAGAAAGGAGATGGGCCCGAGCATGACAAATTGTATTGCACCAAAGCGTCAAGGGATGAAGGTGTGTATTGTACATATTCTGAGATTGTCCAACATTTGTTGTCGTTACTAATCTTGGTGGTTCATTTTTGCAGAAGGATACAGGCATGATGCTGCCCAACCTTTGAGGTCCCAAGTCAACTTTGAGGACTTGTTGACAGTCTGGTCCAATAACCCAGTCGACCCTTTTGCTAGAGCAACATACGTATTACTTGGGTATCAGCTGACCTACACCCAATTCTCCCAAGTCCCTTCACCTTTCGACCCCTCGATATGGCAAGACTGCTCCTTGAAAGAAGAGGTAGAGGACCTTGAAGTTGTCTCCGACCGAGACGCCGAATGCACCCTTTCTCCAGAAATGTTCAACTTTTCTCACATCACCACAGAGTCTTTTGAAGCTCGAACGAGGGCCAGGCTCCTGGGGACTGCCGAACCTTTTGGTACCGCCCCGATCGTCCCGTTGTCACCTCCTCCACCACGCCGACGAACGCCACCTCCATTGCCGAGCCAAAAGGAGTCCCAGGATCCCGTGATTCCGTCAAGGGACCAGCCACCTCCTAGGATCCAAGTGACCTCCTCGGAGGAGCGACAAAAGGACCACCGCCGACGGGAATCCGACCCCTTGGAGGAGTGCCGAACAAAATGCCATGATACCCCAGCGCCGAACGCCCCAGTCGAGTGGGCCCCCATGTCCAGACAAAGAGGGGGGGACCCAGTATTGGAGTCTAGCTCCATCCTCCAATCCCTTGATGTCGCCTTCGCTGTCACCGAGAACTTCCAATTTGAGGCCGACATGACCGTTTATCGAGGCTATGGGGACAACAGGCTTCTCAAATATGTTGGTAAGTGCGCCATTAGTTTAGGGGTTCAACTTGGGTGGCACAACCCGAAAAAGAAAAGGCTTAGATTAGAATTTTTAATACATGGATTGGGACTGGGCAAAAAAACTCCAACTTGAATTGAATATGGGCAAACCTCGGGTTATAGAGTTCAACCCAAATATACATAAATATATAAATATATTTAACTAGAGTTAGTATTTATCTTCACACTTTAGAGTTAAAATTTTCATTTCACTTCAAGTCTTCACCTCTGCGTTTACATCACTCTCAAATCCTTCTCTCATTCGTCACTCCTTCCTCTCTCAACCTTCGTCTCTCACTTGTCATTCCTCCTTCTCTCTTCATTTGCGCCTCACCCTTCATTTCAGATCACTTGAAAAAATCAGATCTACATTTAAAAAAATCAAATCTACACTTCAAAAAATTAATCCGAATTAAGTAACACAAGTCAACTCAATTTTTAACCCGAAATCAGCCCTAATGAAGTGCAACCCGAGTTCGCCCGAATTAAACTTGGGCAATACTCGGATTGAGTACATCGGGTTGAGTTAGGGTTAGGGTTAGGGTTAGGGTTGAAGATTACATATCTATGGTTGGGGTAGGATTGACCTCTCAACCCACCCAACCCGCCTGAGTTGCACCCCTACCCTATACCCTTTAGAAGCACAAATTTAGTTAAGTAAATTTGGTTGGATTTAAAAATTAAATGCATATTAAGGATTTGGCTACATGTGAACAAGTTGGTCAAACTGATCAATAATTTTCAACATAAAATTGCATGGGTTTGTTTATACATTCCAATTTAAAGTATTGGTGAGTCTTGTACCCCTTTGGCCGGGTTTAGAAGGCATTAATTCTAATATGAGCTAACTTACATGCAAGTGTATTCATGTCATAATATAAATGGTACTAATACATATCATGTAATGATGTGTTCTAGGTATAGAGTGGCCTTTTTCACCGCCAACGTCATCTAAGGATTGACTAGGAGTATAATTTTGGGTGCCATGCATATTAAGGATTTGGCTACATGTGAACAAGTTGGTCAAATTGATCAATAATTTCCAACATAAAATTGCATGGGTTTGTTTATACATTCTAATTTAAAGTATTGGTGAGTCTTGTACCTCTTTGGATGGGTTTAGAAGGCATTAATTCTAATATGAGCTAACTTACATGCAAGTGTATTCATGTCATAATATAAATGGTACTAATACATATCATGTAATGATGTGTTCTAGGTATAGAGTGGCCTTTTTCACCGCCAACGTCATCTAAGGATTGACTAGGAGTATAATTTTGGGTGCCATGCATATTAAGGATTTGGCTACATGTGAACAAGTTGGTCAAATTGATCAATAATTTCCAACATAAAATTGCATGGGTTTGTTTATACATTCTAATTTAAAGTATTGGTGAGTCTTGTACCTCTTTGGATGGGTTTAGAAGGCATTAATTCTAATATGAGCTAACTTACATGCAAGTGTATTCATGTCATAATATAAATGGTACTAATACATATCATGTAATGATGTGTTCTAGGTATAGAGTGGCCTTTTTCACCGCCAACGTCATCTAAGGATTGACTGGGAGTATAATTTTGGGTGCCAAGGTCAGTTTAATGGTGCGTTACATATACTGTCTCATATTAATTGAACACTAATTACTTGATTATTTTGAACATCGTTGACTCTTCGTTGCCAGATGAAGGCTCAACATTCTTTGTAGTCCTTTTGTTTTCTGATTTCCTTTTAGCTCTCCCTCTGTGCCCCCACCTCCCATACAACACACAAAAAAAGAAAAAGAAAAAAAGATTAAAGAATTTGTTTTGAATCAAAAGTTAAAAACATATGTTGAATGAGCTTCAAAGTTGTCATTGAAAGGAACCAGAGAAATACCCTAGTAAGAATTGTTCATGCGGGAACTTTTATGTTGTTTCAATTTTATTAAATGCCTCATTCGTGAGACCTGAGTTTGTTTGCAATACTATTAGTCCAATTGGGTTAACTTTGTCTTAACATGTACGCAGATTGTTAAGGGCATTGATGTTGTTAAAAGGGAGCAATTAGTGCAAATGATGACAGTTTTAGGGATAGAAAATTTCACCCCAGTTTTCAGCATGGTTCCTTCTTTGGAACCGATTAGGCCTGCAGGACTTCTACCCACAATAACAAAGGAAGATAAAGTTATATTGAACAATGTCCAGAAAGTCATTGAGTTTTCAACTGCTGGAAGCTCAACATCATCTAGTCGAGTTATGTTGAAAGGGGATGTTTATTGGACCTAATCTTGGCTATGTACTGAATTGGTTCTTATCCTTTCAAGTTGCAATAACGTGTCCTGTAGAGTTGAAAAATATGCAGCTCCGATGAGATATTTGTCATTTCTGTTTTTTCACATTACAGACTACTGTGTGTAGTTGCTTTTACACCTACAAGTGAGATATGGATACGATGTATTTTGTTGAATGTTTCTATATTTATTGTTTTGTTAGTGCTTTAATGTCATTCCCATCATTTCCATCTAATGTGAGTTAGTGTATAGGCCATAATTATACTTGAATCACTTGTTATTTGTGGGTTAGGATGGTGGGTTTTGCATATATTCTTCAGTTTCTTTTCCAGTTTTCTGAATACAAACATAATTCTATGTCATCTCTAGCATTTGGGAATTGTCTTCACTTGTAACATCCTTGAATTTATAAGGAAAAAATCA